ATAGGAGAGGACAGAACAATAGCAGAGGGGTACCTGGAGACTGACAGATACAGGAAAGCAGTGAAAACAAGAGTGTGGTGTTGCAGTGACTGATACCCCAGCAGCATTGAGCAAGTGGCCATCTGAATTGCACCAGCAGCCAGAACTCTACCAGCAACCAGGTGGAAAGGGACATTCACTGGGCGCTCAGGAGGTAAACCCAGACAAAGAACTGCCCATCCTGCTGGTCTGTTTGATTTGATTAGGAGCAGAGACAGGCAGGTGCCAGAAGTTCAGTATAGGAACAGGGTGAATTTCACAAGCCAGTCTGCCCCTAGAGCCATATTGGGCATCATTTTGTTTAAGGAGGCAAGGGCTATGGGGCAGGGCTGCACATGCAGAGCTGGGAGTGAACTCCTATCTGGCTCAGTGAACTACAACAACGTGGCATCCTACAGGTTCCACCCAAGATGTCCAGGTAGCCTTCAGACCTGACAGCCATCAGAACTCCACCAGTGGCACATCAGGCACCATTTTTATGGTGTGGCAAAGGCTGAGAAACAAGCGACAATAGTGAGCTGCACATGCACTGAATTGAGAGTGAGTTCATTTCCGGCTCAGTGAATTACACTGGTCCCATATAGAAAATAATACTGACTTTGGCATCCTACAGATCAAAATAAATCTGGGTGGACATGAGACGTAATAGTCAGCAGGTTCTGGCAAGTTCATCAACCACAATAACCTAGTTATATAGGACACCTGGTGTCTCCCTAATCCAGGAAACTGCTCAAACTAGAAGTGGGAGAAGGTTCTACATTTAATAGTGAAGCCTCAGCACGATATCACAGGAGGTGGAGTGGCAAGCCAGGAGCTGGAGCTATGGAGACCACGGTGGAAATCTAACATAAGAACCCTGACCTGGAACTTGTTGGAGGGAGTGGCACAAGAGACTGCAAATAAAGAGCCGTGTACCAACCACAATAAGTAAAACTGAATTGTAGACCTGTGGGTGACACAGCTTAGAAACCTGCCTCAAGGAGAAGAATCTGATAACCAGAAGTACAATGACCAAGAGCAAAAGAAGACAGAGTCAAAATGAATATTATTGAAAACTCCCCTGCAAAGGAGCAAAACTCTTTCCCAACCTCAGAGTTCATTAAGGAAGAGATGAAGAAAATGAGGGATACAAAATTCAGAAAACTCATTATAAAGCTTATTAACAAGGAGAAGTATATACAGGGGTTGAAGGGATTTAAAAGAATATGTCACACAGGAAATAGCAACACTGAAACAAAATCAAGCCAAATTATTAGAAATGAAAGTTATAATAGGGGCCCAATGCGACGGCACACCCGGGATCCCATATAGGTACCGGTTCTAATCCCCGGGGCCCCACTTGCCATCCAGCTCCCTGCCTGTGGCCTGGGAAAGCAGTCGAGGATGGCCCAAAGTCTTGGGACCCTGCACCTGCGTGTAAGACCCAGAAGAGGCTCCTGGCTTCAGATCGGCGCGGCACCGGCCATTGCGCTCACTTGGGGAGTGAACCATCGGACGGAAGATCTTCTTCTCTGTCTCTCCTCTCTGTATATCCGCCTTCCCAATAAAAATAAAATAAATCTTAAAAAAAGAGAAAGTTATAAAGCAAATTAAACATTCAGTGGAAAGTCTCAATAATAGAATGAAGGAAGCAGAAGAATCAATCTCAAAATTGGAAGGTACTTCTCGTCACAATGGGGAAACAATCAGCTGCAAACAGCTGGGTCAAGCTAAAAGAAATATTCACATGACTAAAACGACAAAATATAAGAGTTACGGGAGTTACAAAAGGTACAGACAGATAAGCTGGGTTTAAAAATGTATTTAATGAAAAAATAAAGGAAATCTTCCTAATCTGGAGAAAGAATTGGGAAACAATATCCAGGAGGAGCACAGAACTCCCAAAAGGGTTGACCAAAGCCATCTTCACCATGAAACATGATAATCAATCTCTCTTCAATCTAACATAAGGAAAAGATCCTTAAACATGCACCTGAAAACATCAATGGATCTATAGAGGAATGGCAATCAGACACAATGCTGATTTCTCACAGGAAACTCTACATGCCAAAAAAGAATGGAGTAACATATTCCAGATTCTAAGAGCAAAAAAATGTCAGCCCACAATAAGATACCCTGCAAAGCTTTCCTTTGTCTTTGAAAATGAAATAAAATTCTTCCACAACAAAGAAAATCTCAAAGAAAAAGCCTCTTCCAGAGCTGCCCTACAAAGAATACTTAGATATTTTCTGAACAGACTAAAGCAACAGCAATGACTAAAACCAAAGGCAAATGTGAAGAACGTTCCAGTAAATAAACAGAAGACTGAATCAAATAATGCATAATCCATTACTAAATGACAGGAGCAAAATACCACCTTATCATACTAAACCTGAATGTAAAAAGTGTAAACCCATCAAACATATGTCATAGATTAGTAGACTGGATTTAAAAAACAAAACCCATCTATTTGTTGCCTGCAGGAGACACAGTTTACCAACAAAGATCAGCGGAAACGATATCTCATGGATTTCAATGTTTTTGTTTTTATTTTTATTTCTTCAAAAGTTTTTTTCTCAAATTCATTGACTCAAAGGTCATACAGTAGCATAATTTTCTTCAAGAAGGTTCTTGATTTTCTTTTTCATTTCTTCAGTGATACATGAGTCATTCAGTAGCAGATTATTCAACTCCATAGCGTTGTAAATTCCTATTTTTCTTCCTGTTGTTGATTTTGTTTTGTGGCTGGTCATTTAAGGGGCTGTATAGTAACTGTGTGAAGCAAATTATCATATCCAGATGTGAGGATACAATGCAGTATGCATCACAATGAAACTGTGAAATACATCTTGACAATAGGATGCTGGACTCTGCCACTGTCCATACCTGCAATGATGGACTTATAACTGTTTATGAAGAACTATGCTGTTACAATAATATAAGAGAAATCACTGGGGGGAAGGGATTTGGGGATGATGAAAGGGAAATCCCAGAGCATATGGAACCGTATCATAAAATAATAAGAACAGAAAAAAAAAAATCAAATGCTGGCAAGGATGTGGTACAGACACAATCTCTGCACATTGTTAGTAAGCATGAAAACAAAACTAGTCATTATGGAGAACTGTAAGCAGGTTCCTCAAAAACTAAAACAGACCTACCACATGACTTATGTGGTATATTTGAAGAAATGGAAATCAGCATACAAAGGGCTGGCACCTTCACTTCCAAACGCATTTAGAGCACAATTCACAACACCAAGATAAGGCCTACTGAGTATACTTAGTGTACAACAATAAGTAAAGGAAACAGGATGTATACACCCAACACAGTACCATTTAACCACAAATATGCATAACATCCTGACATGAAGACAAAATGAATATAATTAGAGATCATCTAGCGAAATAAGCCAGAAACAAAAAGACAACTATTGCTCAATCTTTCTCACATGTAGAATTAAAAATAAATAATAGTTGATCTGAATTTACAGGAACGATTACTAGGAGCTGGGAAGGGTGGTAGGTAAAGTGGATTAAGGGTACCAAACTGTCAGAAGTAACAGCTTCTAGTGTTCCACAGCACCATCAGTGACCGTAATTCACACCAACGTATTGCACACTGTGGTAAGAACCAGAAGAGGAACTGGCAGATAGGAGCGTCTCACTGCCTAGACTGGTTTACACTGCATAGACATGTGGAAATTCTGCACTTGACTCCACAAGTAATGTCCAAGTATCATATTTTAACTAAAGCTATTTAAAATCACCTGGAGAGTGTGGTACAACACAAGGGCCACATAACTCCCATTCCCAACCTCTAAATCAGTGAATGGTAAGTGGGATTTCTGGAGTTCTCAGAAGATGCTACTGCTGTTAGTCGGATTTACCCCTAAGAAGTAGGGCTCTAGAGAAATACAAATTACAAAATTCATGATGATTTCAAGTAATCATCTTTAAATAGTGTAAGTCAATTAAATTTTTCAACTGCTTTTTTTTAAAATTAAAGCAGTCACAGAGTTTTAAATCTCCCATTCCAGTCATCACAAGCTGCTACAATAGAAAGTCTGCTTTATTCTTTATATACACCTTTTAACATAGTTAAGCATAAACTCCTCTTTTCTTGCACTCTGTTAAGTCCTGCTTCTACTTCCAAAATTAAATGAATTGTGCAAGGTCTTCCAGAAAATTGTTAAGTAAATCTTTCATTCTATGAGCCAAATTTTTCAAACAAATGTTCCAAAAGTGGGACAAAGCTGGGGGCCGGGGTGCAGAAGAAGGGAGGGGTTGAACACTATGTCTCCTCACAGAGTAAATTTACAATAAGCCTCTGCTTCAGAACTGCATGTTGAACATTCTTCAGGAGTCCCCTACACTTAAGTTAATGAAAATATGCTTGCGTCTTAGTCGCAATGTAACACCAATCCAGACCCCTGAGAATCCCGGAGGCAGCAGTAGGAGAGCTGCAGCTGCCACAGAAATACTACTTACAATTTTCTTTATACTCATGTTGTTATGTTTAAGAATTAATTCCTATATTTCCTGCCAAAACTAATTCCCAGCTGGGAGAACATAGGATTAAAGGTAATGAAGCGTGAAGCTCCACTATGTATAGGAGGCCAAAAGCTGTCATCTAGATGATATGAAGTCAGCTTTGCTTTTTGATGAATAAACCTTCAACAGGTAAAGGACTGGATGGAAGAGAACGATAGAATCAGCCCTGAATGCTTGAACACAAATGCTTAGAGTAAATTAAAATCATTTCCCTGAAATCTAGTTTTTCTACTTATAACCTTTTCAATATATCTGAATAATATGAATAATACGAAAGAAATAATTTAACCTAGAATATCATCAGAGTACTTATTAAAAAAATAAAACCCACATAAATAACACATGATTAAGTAATTTTATTTTACCCAGGGCTCCCCACATATAAATTGTATAAAAATGCTGACATTGAGAAATAACAGGCAGAATTACCGATAGCAGTCAGAACATCATGCCTTCCAATCCATCCTCCATAAACTTCTTATAAAGTGCCATAAATTTGGCTACAAATGCTTCCAAGTGATAAATGGCCTTGCTACCCAGCTGGAGACGATGTTCATAATAAGCTGCCATCTGGGCCACTTCCCCTTTCAGTTGTCCATCACAATTATGCAAAAGTTCTGAGAGGAGACCCTAAGGAAAAATAATGGGTGATTTAAAAGATAACCACTAAAATCAGTATTAGCCTGGCATTCTCTAGTGCTTTTACTAATAAAGAAGTAAAACTTAAACTAAACTCGCTCCTTAACTCACTCAGTTCCAAGTTTTTAATTCTAAAACTGATTCAAAACTTAGTACTTATTTCAAAGTTGCTGGAAGTGGTATATAAACTGCTCAACTTCAATTTTTTCAGGGTGTCCTATTTATACAACCATGGGACAATACTAGTTCTTTTTCTGCAAATCTGTAATTTTCATTCAAGAGGAAAACTTCTTATCTTTTCTATACTGTAAAGAAGTGGTGGCTGTCTGCCACATTTTAAATGTCAAGCACAGATGGTCTCCGATGTGCAACTTTTCAACTTTACAACGGTGTGAAAGCCATATGCCTTCATCAGAAACCATTCCATGAATTTTAAATGTTGATCTTGCCCCAGGCTAGTGAAATGTGGCGTGCTCCTCTCAGGACGCTGAACAGTGGCAGGGCCAACAGCCACAGCTCCCACTGGCCAAGGGAGGAAATAACCAACACTCTGCAATATCCTGTGTTAACGAACTGTGATGTTCAGGAATCATATTAACTGCATTCTCCATTTATGATATTTCCAACTCAGAATAGCCCTATTAAGATGCAACCCCTCAAAAACAGAACAGCATCTATGTGTAATTGCACAAGAACGCAAGGATATAAGCACAAAGATACTTACTGTGGCATCTGAAAACAACATAAAATTCCACCAACAGAGATCATATTCAAGAAACTGTGATTCATACAACTGAATGCCACTCATAAGAATGAGGCAAATCTGCATGGTTATATAACATCAGCCATTCTATATTCTTGACTGAAAACAGTTTTGTGAAAGTACATACACACATAATACAAAAAATCAGATACCTGTGAAACAGCAATTACTCTTGTAAAAAACAAGGGTGGACTTCATTTTTTTCATTGTTATCTTTCACAACACTTGATTTTTTTTATACTGCCCTATAATTTTAAAAATAGTAAACCATAACTCTCTGAATTTCCCAGTATCTAGCAAACAGTAAATGAAGCTAGAGGAAGTTCAAAGAACAAATCTGAAGGCTGGGCTTGAAATGTTCTAGTCCTGACATAACTTAGCACTTCCAGGTACTGAGTTTCACCATCCAAAGTGCTTATTGCTTGGTTGTTTCATGGTTCTTCTCCTTCTAACCCTCCAAGTCTCAGCTAACATATATCTTCCTCACTAAAGCCACCAGAGGCCTTCCACAGCCCCACGTCTATGATTTCACTTCGCTATATTCTTTACAGCACTTAAAACATCCCAAATCTTTCTTCTGTTTGCCTTTGAATCTCACTAGAATATAACCTACCAAAGGCAGGCCCTCCATTCTCTTCTTGTGGCCTTTAATCGTGCCTGACACAAGAAAACCCTGGGTAAACTTCCGTACAAATGATCAGAGAAAAAGAGGTTACTTTGTATTACTGTCCTCCTACAAAAGCCTTGTGATCACACAGTCCATATGATACAGTAATAAACAATTCAAGATGTGAAACAGGGTTACCTTCATTATTATCTCAGGAGGAATGCAATGTGTTAGAAGCTCATAGAGCCTTCCACGGACTTCAAGGAGCCTATATAAAACAAAACAACTGATATTTTACAAGAAAAACCAGACTTTCCAAGTTCCCATTATGTTATTTTACTTTATGAATTAAACAATCAAATTCTGCATACTCTCTTACTCAACTTTATCTCAGGCACACAGAAAAAAGTTTCTAAATTCATTTTATCTCTCAGAAATAAAAATTTTAAATGAGATATCAAATCTAATGCTACCAATGATATCAAAATACCACAGAAGTGGTAGAGAAAGGTCTCTCACAGAGCTGGTGTGAAGACAGTTAAATACTTTACTAAATTATTACTAAATTTACAAAAACTGCTGTTTTTTTAAAGTTTTCTTATTTTATTTGAGATTTAGAGAGACAAAGATGGAGAGTGCTCCCATCTGTTGCTTCATTCCCTGAATGTCTGCAACGAATGAACCTGGGCTGAGTCCAAAACTGAGAGCTGGGAACCCAATCCAGATCTCCCAGGTGAGTGGCAGAAACTCAACCAAGAGGCCAAAACCAGTGCTTCCCAAGGTCTGTGTACTGACAGGCAGCTGAAGACAAAAAACACAGGCCCTCCCCTAGAGGCTGCAGCTGTTCCAATCAAGGTCTTAACCATTGTTCTAAATGCTTGCCCTGCTTTAGTTCTTTGGTTCATTTTGGAAAAGTTAAAACCTTTACTTTAAAAAAAAATCATGAATCATTACTCTGATTTATCTGACGTATGGGGCACCCAATGTATCATTTCAGTAAAAATCATTATTTTAATAAAAATTAAGAACATCTTATAAATTAGTCTGAGTTGCCTCAATTTATTATGTAGCTTACTAAGTTTTAGTAAATTAATCCACTTACTGTATCTATGACAGGGATTTCTTGATGGGTTGAGAGTAAGACCATAAATCCTTCTGTCAAAGAAACTAGAACTATCTAGAACTCTTCCTTTTAACTAAATGTCCCTAATTCAGTTATGTCACTTTTGTAAACCTGTGTCTAATCACGTGCACAGTAAAGATTTGAATAATATTTTCCTCAGAGGACTGTTACATGAGTTAAAACAGATAACACAGTGTAAGAGCTAATAGAATCTTTCACTAAAATATTTGCGGTAAGACAAACTAAATGAAAATCAAGAATACAAAATCATAACAAGTCCGGGGGGTCAAAAATCATCATTCAACTGATATTGTACATAGGCCACCTGTTAAATATTTTTGGTCAGCATTAAAGCTTTCCAGAACTGAGCAAAAGTTCTTTTTATATACCACAAAGGAATCAAGTCCCCCAGTTTTCAGTCTGTGCAGAGCCCTTCTTTCACATGCACATTTATGAGCTGCCAAACTTAGGGAAATTGAAGGTATCAACAAATATTACAAAAGGCAGTACCTAAAAGGAAGAAAACTGTATTACTGCTACCACCACTACAAACACCAATTCCCTTCTTTGAAATCAGAACAAAACAAGAAAATCATCTTCAGAGTGGATATAGTTTATAGACATAAAAACCTTAAATACGTGCTTTGATTGCTCTGTACCTCTTTAAAAGCTAGTATCTGGGGGCCAGCAATGGCCTAACAAACAAAGCACCACCTTTTCATCACATATGGGTGCTGCTTTGAGTGCCAGCTGTTCCATTTCCAATCCAGCCTCTGGTAAATGCAGCACAAGATAGCCCAAGTACTTTGGACCCTGTCACCAACACGGAAAACCCAACTGGAGTCCCTGGCTGTTAGCTTGGCCTGACCCAATCCTGGCTGATCTAGCCATCTGGGGAGTCAAACAGCAGATAGAAGGCCTCTTTATCTCTGTCTCTCCTTCTGTCTTTGTAACTGTGTCTTTCAAAGAAGTGTTAATACAACAGAAAGAAAGAAAACCTAGCTAGCATTTCTTGGGTATTTGTTGTGACTCAGAAGACTAAGTTGTCATTTGCCAAGCAAGCATCCCACAACAGAATGCTAGTCTCAATCCTGATCAGTTATTTCCGTTTCATCTCCTCATTAATGCACCTACAAAAGCAGTAGATGAGGGCTCCTTATTTGAGCCACTGGAATCCAATGGGAGACCCAGATGGAGTTCCTGGCTCCTCCTGGTTTCAGCTTTGCCCAGCCCTAGTAGGTATGGCTGTGCAGTGAGTGAATCAATGGCTGGAGAAGCCCTCTACTATCTCTGCCTTTGTCACTCTGTCACTCAAATAAATGAATCTTAAAGGAAAAATAAATAAATAAAAATGAAAGCTTAGTATTTCTTCACTGATTATGATTAAACAAACTTTTCTCTAAAGGCTTCTTTTCTGATGAGAATACTTGTAGTTGTTGCTTCTGAGAACGATTAACTAAGCAGCTGAATTATAAAAATTCAAACCAAGTCCTAAAAACTCCACATACTCACCACGCTGAATTTACTGTCCACTTCAATCAATGCAGGTGGCAGTCAAAGAAAACATTAAAAACCCTTTCAGCGATCTTTAAAAAAAAATGAGGATTCATCACTTCTATCACTCAGAAGGAGAAATGTTATTTTACGGCAGGGAAGCTTAAACTCTAGTGGTTGCACTCAGTTGCTCTAATCCTTCCAGGACGCACAGATGGATCCTCAGTTCTGTCAAGCACCAAGGAATAGGAGACTGTGCTACAGGGAGCCTGAGGAACCTCCTCCACGCTTCCCAAGCACAGTGGGCCATCACACTGTTATTCTTGAGATCACAAAGTGCAGACTGTCCTTTTCAATCAGCGCTGTCATCATTCAAATCAGTAGGTGTTGAGGCATTTTACATTTGGTCTGCCAATGAGTAACAGAGCCACAGGAGGAACAGAAACAAACTTTGGAGCAAATGTGCCCGCCATAAATACTTCCTGTGCACCAACAGTGTCTATTCAACAGCACCCTTGGTATAGCCTTTCATCTTACATGAGCACAGGTTTTCTAGAGCTCAAAACAGCATCACACAATCTCTCTTGCTCTTCAAAGGCATACATATCCTTTGCAGAGCAGTAAATTTTCAATATACAAAAGAAGAAGCTGAAACTCCAAAATGAAGTTACCTGATAAAGGACATCTGGCTAAAAAGTCAGGTAAGAACAAGAAGCCTGACTCATATTCTGATGTCTTTCCAGTATGTGATGTAACTTAAACACTGTCCTTTTCAAAATCAGAACATGAAACACAATATGTGTTAATATTAAGTCACTATGTATACCAAAACAGCCAAAAACCTTAACATTTGCCTTCATTTACACATAAATTCTGCTTTTAAGTATTAATAGTTTAGGCATCTGTGCAGTGGCATAGCACACTAATGCTCTGATTCTGGTGCTGGTACCCATGAGCCCCATTTCAACTCCTAGCTGCTCTAGTTCTAATCCAGCTCTCTGCTGATGGCTCAGGAAAGCAGTAAAAAAAAACAGCCTAAGACCTTGGGACCCTGTACCCAAGTGGGAAACCAAGAAGTTCCTGGCTCCTGGCTTCCAGCTTCAGACTGGCTCAAAACTGGCCATTGTGGCCTTTTGGGCAGTAAATCAGCAGATGGAAAATCACTCTGGCTTCCCCACCACACCCCCTCATTACTTTTTTTTTTGAAGATTTATTTATTTATTTTTGAAATTCAGATTTACAGAGATAGACAGGAGGATCTTCCATCCACCGGTTCACACCCAAGTGGCCACAGCAGACAGAGCTAAACTGACTCAAAGTCAGGAGCCAGGAGCTTCTTCCTGTATCACACTTGGGTTCAGGGTGCAAAGACTTGCACCATCTTCTACAGCATTCCCAGACCACAAGGAGAGAGCTGCGTGGAAAGTCGAGCAGCCACAGCATAACACAGCATCCGTATGGGATTCTGGTGCTTACAAGGCGAGGATAGCCACTGAGCCATCATACCAGGACCTTTAACTCTTACTTTCAAATAAAATTAATTAATCTCAAAAAAAAAAAAATTAACAGCTTAATAAAAACTTTAATACTGCAATTCAGGAATTGATGACTTGATTTCTGAAAGAAAAGGAAATTGAATCTTTGCCTTAATAGCTTAATATTTTGATTCCAGATTTCATTAGAATTCTAAATGGCGGGCTGTTAGTAGAAATCAGCTAATATGTATACTGTCTCGAGACTCAAGCCTTCAGCAGCATCATTTCCCACTGCTTACCTCTGTGGAGTTTGCTGACTGACAATGGCATTTGCGGTCTCCCGCAGATACACCTCCCAGTCTGTCTCAGGGATTTCTTGATCTGCAGTGAAAGGGTATCTACATGACAGAGAGGACACGAGTCAGATGGAGGAAGCTCCTGATTCAGGAAGTCTCCTGTGGCACTCTCCCAGCACTCACTGTTGGACTCTGCATGCTTCACACATCAGCAGGGCTTTTCGGAGATTTCTGCGGGACTTCTCTGCCAGCCGATGGGCCAGCTGGGAAGGAAGAGTCAGACCTTCTTTCTTGCACACAGCAGTTAACACATAGCAAATCTATAAATAAAACCATTCACAAGAATGTCTAGACATTGAGATTACTCCTGCTGGTATCATTAAATATCCTTTTAGCTGATACTCTCAAACTTTTTATAAGTTTAACTTCTTATAAAAAAAAAAAACGCCCTAACAAGCTATACCCAACACAATATCACTTGTTATCACTATTTTGCAAATATTTTTCAAAATCAATGAACAACAGAGCCATTTAGTGTAAGAATGACAGGGAAAAAATAAATCTGCATTAAACGTTTCCTCCATACTTCAGTCTAATCCTACAGCTAATGAAGCTACCAAGACACTAAGCAACTCACCCTTCCACAAGTTCCCAAGAGGAACATTTTGTAAATACCAGTATCTGGTGTTTACTATCAGGAATATGCACTCATTTATGCACTTTATAATGATTTGTATTCATCTTCACAACTATTCTTCATTCACTGATGTGTATCCATAAGCTTTTACCAAAATGAGAGAGATGACATTAAACTTAGTATAAACTACTGCTTTTGTGTTTTTTTTTTAAACTACTGCTTTTGTAAAAAGTTGTGAAAGGGTTAAGCTGATTTACCTCTTCAATGCTAGGAGCAGGCACTCGAACTGCCAGGCACCTGCTGCGAATGGGTGGTATCACTTTGGATGTAGAATTGCAACACAAGATCAACCTGCATGTAGACATGTATTTTTCCATTGTTCTGCGCAAGGCATGTTGAGCATCTTTGGTGAGTTTGTCCACCTCTGTCAATAACACCACTGGGTCAAAACAAAAACACACACACCGGTCATTTGGTTTCACTCAAAGCAAAGAACGGGTCTCCTTCTCCTCCTAATAATTATTCAGAGTGAGACCACAAATAACACACACTGGAAACACTGGCATGAGAAAGGCAGTCAACACAGCAGGAAGATGTCTGAACATTCACATCCAAACTACGTCAGATGCTTCACCCGAAACATTCAGATGTGAACAAAAGGGAACAAGCAGCTACAGCTGAAAAGGCTCTCAGGACGTCTGCACCTATGTGGGAAAAAATGCATTTAAACTTAAAGAAAAAACAAAGATTCTTCAGTTGAAATGCAGTTAGAGAAAAACAGAAAAACAGCGAAAGATTTTCCTTTCTCAAGGTCACTTCCCAAATGGCTCCAACAACCAGAGCAGCAGTTTAACAGCTTTTTCCAGGTCTCTCAGAGACACATGCCCAAGCACCTGGGAAGTGGAATAACCAGAGCCATCGAGGGTAGGGGCTTAGTACACTATGCTACAACACCGGCTCCTTGCACAGTCCTTTGGAAGCAAGAACCCCAAGATCGCCCACAAGAACATACTGGACAGGAGTATATGCTACCTTGAAAACAACCTTCAGAGCAAGTCTGATAGAGAATTTGGGGTTTTTTGTTTGTTTGTTTTAAATGAAGTTCCTACCAAAGGTAGCATGCCACCAAACGCAAAAAGCCAATCTAGGCAGATTATGAAAGAGAGGACAAAGGAAGAAACCCTAATAAAGAGGCAGAGTGGAAGACAAGGAACAGAACCTGCAAACTTTCTATGCCTTTGTGAGAACAAACGTGCAGGACAGCCCTAGGGCCCTCAATTGAGAAAAACTCTCTGGTCTTCTCCCTCCAGAGAACACAGAAAAACTCACTCCACTTTCTAAATAATGACTGTCAGGGAAGAATCACAGCTAGACTCAAACACAGTTAACAGGGAGGGAAAAAAAACAGAATCATCTATCTATGGGTACAAAATGACAAAAATTATTACCTAAACTATTATTTACTTTTTAAATACCGTTCCTTTAAATTAACAACAAATTTAATATAAGAACATCTAGTGTTTTCAGAGATGTCAATTCAACTGTAACTGGAATGAAACACAATTACTACTTCAATGGTCTTAATTTGCTTCACTTTTAAAGGTTTACAAATTTGGTGTTATCAATTTTTATTAAAATTGAGTTTAACTCATTACTGTAATAACAGATTAATAATAAGGGCACAACATTCCCCAAATATTTAATAAATATTCAGTCCTCTCCATCTCTGGGTTTTGAACCCAGAGATTCAACTAGCCATGGATCAAAAACATTAAAAAATTCCCATCTGTATGGGAATGTATGACACTGGTCATTATTCCTTAAACAAAGCAGTATAAAAACCATAAAGCATTTACCTTGTCGCACTCTAAGCAGTCTAGAGATGATTTTGAAACATAGAAAGATGTGGGATGTATGTAGGTTATACATAAAAGCTGTACCAATTACTGCAGATTTAAGTAGTATGCAAGTTTCAGTGTCTTTGAGGAGTCCTGAGCCAATTCCTTACAGATATAGTTTTGTTTTGCACAGTGACACTAAAACGAGTGACTGAGTAATAAAGGTAGGAAAAAAACAGCATGCTTTTTTTTAAAAAAAATTAACACATGATGATTGTGACCAAGTGATGTTTACCTCAGAAAATCAATAGTGACTTTGACATTACCAATGATATAAACATAAACTAAGAGGAAAAACTGTAAAGCCATACTCATGGATGTAAAAGCATGTTTAAAATTTTCAATAAGAAAAGAAGCAATGGATACCTTCCTAGTGTGACCAGACACATATACCTCAAAGTCCTGCCACCCACTGAGCGGGGAAGCTGAATCTTCTGTTCTAGCAGCGTGACATGGATGCCCACTATCTCTAGCTACACCAGGAACAGTACTGCGGTACCGGCCAACATAATTAGATAAAACATTCATAAACAAACACATGTGAAAGGGAAAAAACCATCTCTATATGAAGATGCCACGAATGTTTACCTAAAAACTATAGAAAGACTACTACAAATAGAGAATTATGGTAGGAATTTTTTTTAAGCAATCTGTGATATAAAACTTTTAAAAATATAAATTTACATTAGCAAAAAATTAAACTTATTTTTAAATACAAAGACTAACAATGAAAGAAACAGCCTTTAAATACACAGACAATTCACAAAACAATAAGCAGAAATAATGAGCAAAAGGAACAATAATCATAGTCACAGAAGAAAAACAAAAAAAAACCTCTAATTTCTCAGTTAAACTAATCAAAAAATTATCTGCAGCTGATTAATATTGGGACACTCCAGACACTGCTAATGGAGGTACCGATCTGTATTTCCATCCAGAGAAGAACTGGGCAAAATGTATCAAGACATTAACTACGTTTGCATATTGAGTGTATGCATATACATGCATAGATAAATTCTGACTAAAACCCACAATGTTAATCATAGCTGTCTCTAGATTGTAGCTGAGGTTAACTTCTACTTTATCTAGTATATCATATGATTTGGGTTATAAGAGCAGTTGTTTGGGGACAGCATTGTGGCTTAATGAGTTAAGACACGACTTGCAATGTCCATATCCTGTAATCAGTGTGGGACCTGGAGTCTCAGATCTGCTTCACAACCAGCTTCACAGCAAAGCTTCCTGGGAAGCAGACAATGCATCCAGTCCTTTGGCTCCCTCCGTGTGGGCAACCGCGACAGAGCTGCAGGCTCTTGGTTTCCACCTGCTCTAACCCTAACTATTGTGGTTATGTGGTCAGTGAACCAGAAGATGAAAATCTTTCTGTCTAGTCCTCTCTCTGTCACTCCGCCTTATAAGCAGACAAAATGTATAAACAATGGAGGTAAAAAAAACCCTTTTAAGGCATATAGTTTTTTATTTTAGACAAAAATTTTTTCAGTTACTTATCTTGTTCTAAATTGTCAGGTGGTACTCTTTCCCCCTCCTCCCACAAAATTCAACTGCATTAACTCTAAGAACCCAGGAACACAGCAATCACACTGCTCTTATTCATTTCTGTGGCTCCAAAAAAGCAAAAAGAATTACTGCTTGGAAACTTTATAAGATGAAATACTTTATCACATACCTTTAAAATCTCTTTGAGAGCTTGTTTCAAGTTGCTGTGATTGCGCCACTGTTTTCAACATCTCCTGAATTACTACCCGGTCACTATTTCCAGCATCACTACACAAAACAAAAACAATTGTATGCAGTTTATTTTGAAAATATTATATTTTATTCCTAATATGCTACTCTAAGAAAAAGTAAAAGAGTTATTGGAAAAAACATGATTTAAAATTTTAATTAAAAATACTTATCTAATTTTGGTTATAAACCTTCAAAACTGAAATATTTTAGAATCAATAAAAGAACAAACATTCCATTTGTATTAACATCATTGAAAACACTGTGTTCTGACATTAACTTCACAGTTAAGAGAAAAATAACTAACAGTTTTCCAAATTCTATACACTCTAAGATTTCTCCATTAATTGACAGTATTACATTAATGTATTTAGTGTGTTTTTCATAATCACTTTCTCAGTTTAAAAAAAATCAAAACATTCCCCATCAGTATGGAGATACTAAAAATCTGAAAACTTGTCTACCGTATGATCTAACTATTCCATTCCTGGAAATATATCCAAAGGAAGTGATATTTGCAAATGAGAAGGTGACCTGCCACCCTACATTACAGCATGACAATCCACACTAGCAGAGGCAAGAAAATAACGCAGATGCCCACTGAAATGGACTGAATGAAGACTCTGCTGTACATCCACTCTATGGAATACTAGTCAGTGGTTACTGTGATTTTATAATTTGAAACAAAATGATCCCAACTAGAGAACACTATGCTCAGTGAAATAAGCCAATCCTCCCTCCTAAAAAAAAAAAAAAAACACACCAATACCATATGTTTTCTCTGATATAAGGCATTCTTCATGCAATATACAAGAGCAATAGTTATATAGGTAGGGCCCTGCATGATGGCTTAGTAGCTGGATCCTCGCCTTGCATGCACCAGGATCCCAAGTGGGTGCCAGTTCGTGTCCTGGCTGCCCCACTTCCCATCCAGCTCCTTGCTTGTGGCCAGGGAAGGCAGTGGACAATGCCTCGAAGCCTTGGGACTCCAAATCCATGTAGGAGACCAAAAAGAGGATTCTTCCTCCTGGCTTCGGATTGGCTCAGCTCTGGCTGTTGCAGCTTCTTGGAGAGTGAACCAGTACATAAGAGATCTTTTTCTCTGTATCTCCTTCTCTCTGTAAATCTGCCTTTCCAATAAAAGCAAATAAATCTTAAATTTTCATATATATGTGTATATATGAAAACATGTAGTATCTACACATATTCTCACAAAAGAACTGTACAATAGAGACGAGCATACCAAGTGAAGATTCAGTGCAGTATGCATCTCTACTCTCAAATAAAAGAGGACTCCCAACAAAATTGTTACATTTATCTGGAAAATAGGATGCTGGACTTTCTACCATTGTTTATACTTAGATTGTCATGATACACTTAAATAGCAGGATAATGGACTTGTGGCTGTTGCTGAAGGACTACTCCACTCTAATAATGGAGAATACAGGAGGGAGTAGAACGGGCAATCCCTGTACTTGTGCAACAGAATCATGAAATTTAAAATTTTTTTCCATTCCCAATCTATGTAATATTCCCTCTACATTTATATTAACCTGTTACTCCAGTCTTAATTATCTTTGATACGCTTATATTTCCCTGCCAGGCTTGTTATAATCCACGTAAGACTTTTCACACAACGCGTGCTACTGAACAGCACACACACTTCAGCTTCCTACCCAACTCCCCTTGCTCCAGCTAGCCCCCTCCCTCTCTCAGAAAGGGATCCTCCATTTCCCACAGGATGCAGGAGCCTGAAGACGCCCTCCACTCTGCTCGTCCAGAGCCCATCGGGCTCTACACAACCTTTCGGTCCAACATAACGCAGCACCCAAAATCACTCCTTCCCTACTCAGCCAAGCAACTGCTGCTGTCGCAAAGCCCAAATCTCAGCATCTTATCCTAACTGATACAGACACATCAGTTGGTAGACACAAAACTCTCAGATCAGTAAGCTAGAATGAAAAAGTAGTAACAAAACATCTGACAACCCAAATCAGTTTCTGAATTATTTACTCTAAACATGAGAAACCTTTTAAATATACTTTTTTGTTTATCATGGTAAAAATTAGTCAATGTAATTTGATAAGAAATTAATCACACAACTCACCTAGTATAAAACAATGAGCTCTACAGAGCAAGAAAAATATATATAATCCTGAAATTACTTAACAGATAAGGAAAAGTGGGAAGGCTCTACACAGCATCAAACAGGGCAATTTCATTTCAATCTGACTTGTTTATAGCCTGTGCTCCCATACATGATTTTTAATTCAAGAACTCTCATTTTAAAAGAAAAAAGTGAATACCATTTTTCCAAATATATTGGTTTTTACACAGTAGCAATTTACCTGGGATTAACTTCAAGATGGTAATTACTTGCAATGGTGCTGATTTCAATTTTCTTTTTGGATGGAGTCTGTGAACAAAAAACATGCAACTCTGTAAAATATTTAGTTAAGGCTACTTCCCCTCTGTCTTGTGTTTTTTTTACTTTTTATGACATAAAAAATTTATGCTTGCTAAAAAAGATGTAACCACCATTAAGATTTTAATTTCAATAGCCTCATTCTTTCAATTGCAAATATGTTTTACGTCTTCCTTCATACTCACTGTCACATCATCACTGTAAACCATCTGGATACCTCCTTTCACAGACAAAGTTACAATGAATATATGTATCAATAGTGTAATGGTTAAGGTCCTTGCTTTGAATGTGCCGGGATCTCACATGGGCACTGGTTCTAATCCCGGCAGCTCCACTTCCCATCCAACTCCCAGCTTGTGGCCTGGGAATGCAGTCTAGGACGGCCCAAAGCCTTGGGACCCTGCACCCACATGGGAGACCAGCAAAGAAATTTCAGGTTCCTGGCTTTGGATCAGCACAGCAATGGCCACTGAGCTCACTTGGGGAATGAATCATTGGACGGAAGCTCTTCCTCTCTGTCTCTCCTCCTCTCTGTATATCTGCCTTTCCAATAAAAATAAATAAATCTTTTTTAAAAAATGAATATATATATCAAGTGTTAATGTTTCTTATTAAAAAATAAAGGCAATCACACATATCTGTGTTTTGCTTTTCCAGCTCAACACATCTTGGTCATCTCTCAGACAACTAGTACTATTACAATTGTGTAACAGTCTGTACTGACGTGCCGAAGCTAGTCATGAGCATCTTGATGTTTGCTTTTGGTGATTCAAAGGCTACAACTGATGTTCTTGGGCCTCCTCCAATGTCTAGTCATTTTCACTGCTACGTGAGCCACATCCAGTAATTCCCTGCGCAGCCTGCTCTCAGCTCCTTCCCCAGAAGCCTATTTGGGATGTCAGGTGATTTCTCCCCTTTACACTGTGCAGCCCTGTCTTGCCCAGTCTGAATGGCCAGGAGCTGCTCCACACCTGTCTGGATGGGTGCCCCCACACATTCTGATGAATGCCCCACCCGTTAAACCTCGCTCCCTTGCTTGCCACTCCTCTCACATCTGAACATTTTTGCATCTAAAAAACAATTTTAAAAGATATGCTGAATTGGACGGGATGTGTTTTCTGAGCTTCAATAAAGTATGCATGTGTATAACATGTATAAATCAGTTGGCTTCCCAAAACATTCCAACAATTCAGTTTTTTACCGGCAATCAGCAAATACTCTTTGCTACATTCCCCACATACAGCACATTTTCTAACGCTTCTTCATTTGGGGCAGTTTTGACTCATACTGATGTCCACCACAAATGCCTAACATCTTTACACATGTCCCCTGCCCACTCCACTCTATTTCTCTTTTGAATATTTATAAACCAATTTAGTACTAGGTTATCTAACTTTCCATTGTCAATTTAGTAAATGTTTTAACATATTACCAAATTATCAGATATTTTGACAATCTACTATTTTTCTATTGACTGTGTGTATTATCTTATCAAATGAACTTTTAAAATTCATATATACCCAAGTATCTATTTCCTTTCTTCTACTGTTTCCATGCTTTCCAATGAAAGATACTTGACCCACAGGCAGTAAATGTCCTCTGCCGCAGTACAGTCTGATATTCAGTGTTTTAACACTGAAGTCTAATTCATCTGGAATTTACATTTTTATACTTTATGCACACTTTGTTACCACAAAGGGAACAAGTTATGCTGGTTAATTTTGCCAGCCCACTGATTTTAAACAGCCTCTTAACATTTCTGGGCTCCATATTCAGTTACGCTACTCTAATTCCCCATTTCTATGCTAATATAATATAGTTTTAGCCTTATAATATGATTTACAACCTGGCATAACACAAGCCCCTTCTCTAATCTCTTTCATAATTACTTTATCTAGTTCTTAGAAATGTATTCTTCTACAGAGATTTTTAAGATCATTTCCTATAATTAAAAAAGAAGTACCTGGATTTCAATCGTAATTTATACTATAACTGTAACCGAGGGAGAATGCTTTGCAATATTATGACTTCCATTTGAGAACATGCCACACATTACCATCTAAATTTTTCTTGTATATTAGTTTTTCCCTACAGAACCTGTACCCTTCTTTATAAATTGATCAGACATGTTATAAGATGCACCACTGACATCTGAAACTCACTGTGTCTAAACAGAGGCTAATTTTAGCTGGAGCCCAGCACTCTCCCCAAAATTCCATCAGGAGCACTCCCATCCATATGCAGCATAAGGTTTTTCCAGAAATACATTCTACCAGAGGCTATCAAGGGTATTAAAATGAGCATGACATAACTACATCAAACATTATATAAATAATCATAATCAAGGCAAAGCAAAATTTAAGAACTAAAAAAACAAACAACAACTTAATGCGACTGGAAACAGCAGTTTGGAGAGAAGGAGGCACTTCAGTTGGTTATCAGGTTTCATAAGCAAAGAACACGAACATGCATGCACAGCCCACAACACACAGAGCTGCAAGCTCGGCCGGAGCTAGACGACCGGAAAGTTCTTAACACTGTACACCCACCAGCCTCTTCTCCCAGTCAGCCGCCCATCTTATCAAGTCACTTGATGTCACATATAGAATTTCCAGTCTTGGCAGTATCTTCACTATTGTTCTTGCTCCCAGAACAATGAACTAGACAAACCTGAGTTCCAGTCCCGGCTGACACACTGATTTACAATGCAATGTGAACTCTACTTATACTTACTGTGATGGTCTGATGTTCGATTCTTAATTTCTCCACTCCAACACCATAAAGTTCGCGTAGGACACACATGATCCTTGTCTTTTTCCCAGCACCTGAGGGTCCATATACTAAGAGGTGAGGAAAGTCACCACACTGAACCTGGGGTGAAAGAACAAAACAAGGCATTTCCCGCTCATCAAACGGAACGTCTCTAGGTAGAATCAAATCACTTCTTAAGACTGCATTTTATATACCATGAAATTCAAGACTCAAATATGTGTCTGTGATAAACCCCAAAATGTTAATTTCCTCTGGTGCTTAGTTTGCACAACCTATATGCAGAGCAGAGCACATGTCAGATGTAGCTTTCAATGCTAGAAAAGCAAAAATCCCCAAATCTGGCTACTGGAATCTGTCAGAGAACTTTCGAAAACAAGGAATGTTTGACCACAGGGACCACCATCATCTATGAGCTTAAAACTCTGTACCTCTTAGAGAATGAGGCCCGACTCACTTTGGACTCTTACAACAAGCCTGTGGAAAGAACTGGGGGCATCTGGCTTCTTGGTAGGAGCACTTCCCAGGGGAGGAAGGCACCCAGCAAGTGTACCAAGTCTAACTTGGCACTCTAGGCCTGTGGTCTGACTCCGGCCCGGGCAAGTGAGGCCAGTACAGAGACAAAGCACGGAGGGGAAGCTGGAATTGGATCCACTCTCCCATCGCTGCCCTGCTGAGGCCTTCCGGGAAGAGAGCTGGGGGGGAAGAGGACTGCTTAGGGAACACAACCCAGCAAAGCACTGACCCGGAAGCTGAATGCCAGGGAGCTGGGAAGATCAGCCAGGTTAGGGGAAGGATGCGGACACAGTTACCATTAGTTGCATAAAGTCACTGGAGTCAAAAGTTCTCTAGCTAACCATTATATAGACGAAACAAAACAGATTCTAAACAGATGTGATAATTATGAAGTCCTCTATCTCTGGCACCGCAAAGAAAATCTCAAGGAAGTACTTATCTCTCAAGGAAGTACTTATCTTACACGGAGCCTGCAAACAGCAAACGCCCACGGAGGACTGCTGCTTTTGTCTTTTCAACTCTGACCTAACCAAATACAGAGAACAGCCCTTACACGGGGCTGACAGAGTCTCAGCTTCAACAATAAACCGGTGTACATCTCAAAAGCAACAACGTTAACACCGAAGACCAGTGTATCAAATTGCGGTACAGACGAATAATCACAATTTTGTGTAAGAAAAAGTAGCTGTAAAAAAAAAATTGTTTTCTATGACTTACAAAACCAGAGTCAAAGTTACTGCTGTCAGTGTGTCTCTAAAGTATAAATGCATTACATGTGGAATTAGTACAGATGCAACATCAATACTCAAGGAAACCTCAACCTTCAACTTCACAACGACTTTTTAAATGTTTACCAATGCCACAGGGATAGGTATACACGCGTATATGTATAAATGAGATTAGCTTTCTTTTTGCTTAATCATTCCACAGTTTCAAAAAGCACCTGTAATTCTGGGAAAGGTTAGGCATGAGAAGACCACGGGGGGGAAAAAATGCACCCGTAGTCACCTTACGCTACATTCAGATTTGTAACGGGACTGAATCATCGGCCTGCGGGGGCTGCAAATAACACCTCTCGGGACGCTCCTCAAGTTTGCTGTCAGGCACTTCGGGCTGGCTGCAAGGAGGAAAACAGCCTCCCCGTTCAGGAGCTGGACCCACGGGCACCTCGTCCCATCAGAGGCACCTCCACGCAGCATCCCGCAGCCAGCAGGGAGCAGGCGGCTTCCCCGTCGGCGCCCGGCCCTGCCCGGGGTCGCCCGCGCCTCCACGCTCCCTCGGACTCCGCGGCGACTCACCAGGTTGCGCAGCTGGGCCGCCTGCTCCTTGTGGTAGTCCAGGCGCGCCAAGGAGCAGGGCCGGTACTTGTCCACCCACAGGCTCATGGCAGCTCCACGGCCCGCGCGCGCCAGAACCCCGCGGCCCTGACGAGTTTTCCCGCGAACGCCGCGTCTCCCGACGTCACCGGCGGCACGCCTGCGCAAACGACTCCAAGCCGCGCGGCCTACGGGAGCCGCGTGGGGACAGACTGCCCCGCCTCGCGTCTCCACCTAGTTCTGCTGCTACTACTGGTTATTTCCTGGGGTTTTATTTTGTTCTCCTGTTCTTGGTATTCAGGAACCTAGGAAGACTACTTCACGGCGTTACTCTGATGGGATGTGCGTCAAGTCCAGGAGCCTCGGATGGCACTCCTTCCTGGAGCCCTGTCCTGAGGTGTCTCATTCACTCACTGGATTCATTCCACAGAATTTCAGGAAGCCGCCATCCTAGGATTGTGTTCTTGGTACCAGAACACTCCTGGCTCAGGGTTCCTCTGTGTTGACATGCACCCAGTAAAGCTTCATGGGATATTTTTAAAATGTTGCTAATCCTCACTCTGCAGTTACCTCCCTTCTTCAACATTGTTAAGGGATTGAAAACCGATCGAAAGACCCTGTAAAAATGCCACAGTGTGGCCTGCGGGGAAGAAGACTGCAGAATGACAAGCCATTCTGAGAACAAAATGTTTGAAAGCTTCTGTGCATTAAAACGAACATAGCAATGAGACACCCTCAGGAAAACGAGTCCTCTGCAAGACCCCATAAAATGTGTCAGTCAGGCTGCACATCGGGCACACAGTGCAGTTTCCTACCGGCATGGAATATTAAGCCCCACTTACTTCATGCTTTCACTTTGTTTGTGGTTCAGGATCCTGAGTCCTGTCATTCTTCTGCCATGTTTTACAGAACGGATGAGCCTTGCCTCAAAGTGCCCCACCCTTCCAGGTGTTTAATATGACATTACAAGGCTCTTCTTTGAATCTTACCAAGTGAGGTACTCCAACGGGAAAGAACATTATCGTACATAATCACAAACGCCACCAAGACACATTTCAGGTGTGGCCCTTGTGCTCAAGCAATTTGCTGAAACAGGTCTGAAAGTGTTTCTGCCTCTGGACACACTGATATGCAGCGTTACCTAAGCTGGTTCCCTCACTTCCTTAGGCTGGCCTAGCTTTATTCAATTTGCTGAGGCACCTGCCTGAGCACACTGCAACACTGCACAGATCCTTCACACGTCCTTTGCCCCTCTCCTATTGGATTCAAACGAGGGGAAAGTTTTGAAGTGAGAAGAGCGCACATCGATAAGAAGCAATGGTGTTGAAGTGTCATCTATGTCAGTATGGGAATTATGCAACAGGAGACAATGCAACAAATGATTTGAAGAAAACAAAACCAGGTGTTGGGATGATTGGTGACTCGGCAGAACAGAGAGACTTTTAGCGCAAAGGACAACTTCAGTAAGGAGAAGTTGTTGAAAAAGGAGTCAGCAGGCAACCAATGGGTTGTGGGGTCCAAGGGAGAAGAAACACCACCGAAGGACAGGACGAAGAGACACAAGAAAGATAGTTAGTTCACCTACCATCACCGGGTTTTGGAAATCAAAATGCAGCACCCAGTTAAACTTGCATTTCAATTAATATTTTAGTATGTCTCAAACAATACTTCGAATAAAAAAATTATCTATCTGTAATTCATGTTTAGATGTTCTTTTATCTGCCATCCTAATCCAGAATTCTGAATATGTGGGATGTAAGGATGGCTACAATGGAAGTGGAGTCCTTGGGAGGGCCAGAAAGTAGAAGTTATCCAAGAAGAAGGCATAGCTATAAAACTAGGGTTGTTAACCTATAGCTCCAATCACTTAATGATTGTGACCCTTGGGTTCTCCAGCTTTAAAATGAAGTTAAAGGGATCTAATTTTCATGGCTCATTTGAGGATTAAATAAGGTGGCACAAATACCTAACACATATTAGACTTTTATTTTGATTAACAAGGACATAGCCATAAATATACCCATGAAAGGTCATCACAACAAAGATGGTAAGAAGACACCAAGGTTGCTAGGTCAAATCATCACTTGCCTCACTTGAACAAAAGTGAGAGGGCTGACAGTTAACTGCATGCAAACATTAACAAGTGCATGGTTACTTTATTTGGGTTCTTTGGTGAAGTTTAACAGGCTACTCCACCACTTTCACCTGTGGAAAAAACCTACATTTGATTGTGCCAGAGAAAGGACTAAGACCCTTCTGCAGGCTAGAAATAATTTTGTTTTTATTCCTTTAAAAGGAGTGAAGAAACAAGTTTTACGGATCTTAAGAGGCTACAGATCAGTTAAGAAGGAATGCACATTATGTTTCTTTGATCTACCACTAAAAATACCTAAAAGGAGAAAACAATAAAACAGTATCAACTAAAGCACTTTGGGGGATGGGGTGTGGCATTAAGTGCTTTAAGCTGCCACCCATAGTGCTGGTGCAAGTCAAAGTTGTAGCTGCTCCCTATTAATGACCTGGAAAAGCAGCAGAAGATAACCCATGTGCTTGTGCAGTGTTCTCACTTCAAAACTATCAAAAAGTTGAAAGTGGTGGTTAGCCCAGATGAAGCTCCTAACTTCTGGCTTTACTCTGACCCAACTCTGGGCATTGTGGTAATTTCAGGCATGAACTAGAAGATGGAAGATTTCTCTCTCTCTCTCTCTCTCTCTCTCTCTCTCTCTCTCTCTCTCTCTCTCTCCCTCTCTCTCTGCTTCTCTCTGTCTTTCCTCTTCCCCCTTCTTCTTTCTTCCTCTATTTTTCATTCTCCTTCTCTCCCCCCTTCTCCCTTTATATCCCCTTTCCTCTTTCTCTGTAACTCTACATTTCAAACAAATAAATCTTAAACAAAATATCTCTGGTTTTAACACCATTGTTTGATTTTCTTCTTTTTTCCTACACTGGAACATATTTGGAGAGCCCTACGTTGGGATGTATTTGGAGATACCTTTTGGGAAATAACTCAAAGTTTTGCTGGCTTATGATTTCTATTTCAAAGGGCATTGGCAGCATCCAGTCAGGATTCCATTTCCTCATTCAAGGAGGACCCATGAGCAAATTCCTTTCTGTACCTCAAAAATGGCTAATAAATCATTAATAGTCAGTGGACTGTACTTAATGGAATCATGAAACCAAATGACTGGGTTCTGGAGAACGGAATATACGCTACAAGGACCAATGACACATGTCATTTTTCACATCTATATTACAAAATCTGTACGATTCTCCATAGTCTGACTGGGCTGTTTAATACAAGGAAACAGCAGTAAAGTCTGGGTTAGCAGGGGACAGCTGAGGTACTAGGAAGGAAGCTGAATTCCTCAGACTTAGCTTAGGTCACCCTGATAAAAGCATACCAGGTTGCTTTTTTGAGTGGACGTTGTGGTGCAGCAGTTAAGACAACACCTGGAACGTCCATAGCCACATTGCAGTATTTTGTTTGAGTTCCACCTGCTCTGCTTCCACTCTAGCTTCCTACTAATGTGCACCCCACAAGGAGTAGGTGATGGCTCAGATACCTGAGTCCCTTGCCAGAGACCAGCTCCGGCTGACTTGAGAGCTTGCAAAGGATGCGTGGATTGGCAAGAAGACATGAAGGAGGAGGCGTGGACCACTATGGCATGATGCTCATAATGGACAATGGAAAAAAGATGCCTTCTTTATTCTGAAATCATCACAAGCTTTTGCATAACATCAAATTGTTCCATTTATACTTCATGGTTAAAAGAATGGTTACAAAAACAATTCTAAAAAATATTATTATTATTATTTTACTTGAGAGAAAACAGTTTCAGCAAACCATTGTCCATTCAAAGCTGCAGGCACCCGGCTGACGTCAGGAACTCCACGGTTGGCAGGACAAGCGGTTTACTTATATCCAAAATCAATTTTCACTAAACCTAAACCAATATTACTTAAAATATCAAGAATACAGAATTAAAAGAAAAGCTTGTGAATGAAAGGAATTTATAAAGGCATATATCCTGGATTCTTTTTTAAACCTCATAATCAGTCATATACTAACTGCCCTCACTTTCACCTAGTACTGATTCAACTGTTTTTTTTTTTTTTTCTTTGTTAAAGGGCAGTGAAAGGGATCAGGGTAACTCGGCCTTTCTATGAACAGAGCGCTTTTATAAGAAACTTCTTTTTTTCTTTATAAACTATTTTTGTTACCCTAAATACAAGTGCTAACATAAGATAGAAGTTTTAAATCATTTTTCTTTGGGGGTTCACATTTGTCTCCCTTTAGAAGATGTCCCATATACTTTCGGCTTTCTGTGGTGAGACCCCAAAGTGCAGTATTTCATGTGTTGTAATATTTCCAGGCTGCACGGTAATCAAATTCTTTGTACCCCCACGATTGCCATCTGTTCGAAGATATTATCAAGCTATTTCTTAAGGAAAACATTACTTATTTTAGGGCAAGCTCCAGGACAAAGGTGGACACGTAACAGGATGTTTGGAAACATTGTGGGCTTAATTGTACTGTTTTATAAGCTTTAATGTGTGTCATTGCCTTAAGCTGCTAAAGACTCTTTTAGTATAACATGATTGGTCAGTTTGAGGTGTTATACCAGTTACAGGAATCACTTCACATTTGCAGAAAAACAACAACAACCAACACCCTCAGGAGAATTCTATGAGACATCAGAGAGGTGATCGAGTGTCCATACAATGGGGTGAGGCAGCAGTGAGGTGATTAGAGACATTCTGCTGGGTCTTGCCACGCAGTCAGAAACTCCTCCTAGCCTTGCTAACCAAGGAGCTGTGCTTGTCACACCCTCTCCGTCTGTCCCAACTGCGTGGCTTCCCGGGGTCCCTGGCACTCACATGAGATTCAAATAGAGTTTCTGCCTCCTGGATTTGGTATGGCCCAGTCCTGACTATTCCAGGTTTTGGAGAAGTGAATCAGGGAATGGAATATCTATCAGTCTTCTTGGTTCTGTCACTATGTTTTCCAAATAAATGAAATTTTGAAACTTGAAGAACAGAAGACACTAATAAATCTAATTAGAGTCCCTGGATTCAAATCCCAACTGTTCAATTTAGTGTTCTGATACTGTTAACAGTTTGAAATT